TTTGGATTATATTGTACCTGCATGATTTCTCTATATACATGGATCACAAAGGGTCCCCTGATTTTAGAGGAACTCCAAAAAATGAAATGACAAAAGAGACACCCAATGCACTGCTGGAGTAGGGTAATGAACTAGTCTAACCAAACATCAGTAAGAATATTCATGTGGGTTGATTAGAATGGCAAACAGCTGCTTTCTCACTCTTACTGCATCTCCTGTTTGATGTTTTGCAGCCCTGTTTAAGGTAACCCATTATCTCCTTGGGAGGATGGGTCAAAAGATCTCCTGAACAGCTGCTGTGAAGATTTTTCAAGAAATCTATTAGATAAAATCACTTTGGGTTCTCACTTTATTTTGAGTTGGACTGCAGCTGTGCAAGTCCTGTAAGTCGACTGCGGCTCAGTCTTATGTGGTTATTGGAGTCCATTGGTCCTAAAGAAGTGGACATGGTTCTTGAAGCTTAGAGTTTAACCACTGTCTTGGCTGATCAAGGCCTCCTAGGTGGTGATCTATGATTGGATCTAATGATCGTGGTGGGGAATTCATCCTTGAGTAAAGAGGCAGTTTAAACTTTTCTTAAGGAATTAGTGATCTGCCCCTTCTTCAGCAAATCATCTCTAGATTTAATAGTGTTGGATAATCTCTGGTTTATCTTTAACCTTCCCTTTTGGAGCAAGATTATTGAGAAAATGGTCTGTCAGTAGATAATCTGGAAGCAGATAATCTGGAGACTTTTCAGTCTCCAGCTATAGGAGATTGAATCCTATAGACTTGGATAAAGTATCAGATGGCATTGATTGTACTTCTGGATGATCCCTGGTAGGACTAGAATGAGAATAGTGCATCCATCCTGTTGTCTTTGATTGCTCAGTGTCTTCAATATCACCAGTCATGGTATCCTTTTGGACCAGCTCAGGGGGATGGAAGCGAAGATATGGTTTTGTGGTGGTTCTTCTTCCAAAATTAGTTCCAGTTAGTGTTGAAGATAGGGAGAGATCGAACTCTTGATTTGTGAGGTACCTCAGTACTTCTTTCTCCACTCCTATGGCATCCGCAAGTATTGTGGGCCCAAAAGAAAAAAGATCATATTGGTTGGAAATATGCAGAAGAGGCTTACATGCTGCAGTGGATAGACAATGGCTAGAATGATGAAGGTGATGATGATGATAACATCAGTAGAAATGCACTGGGTCATCGATTGACATGGAATTAAATTGAGCAGTATGCTGATGATATCCAATTATACACCTCAACCTGTTGCTGCCAAGTGATGCCATTAAGGTTCTCAGTCAGTAATTGGAGGCTGTGGGGCCATAGATGGACAGAAATATATGTATGTTCAACCTAGTAAGACCTGGTTCTAGATATTGAAACTTCCTGGAAGTGAAGATTTTCTGAATGGGCTTGTACAGTCCTACACTCTTGCTCGAAGAGCAGGTGGTAGCCATGACTTGACTGACTTTTGTACCATTCTGTCAGCTTTTCAAGGTAGATCAAACTACTGCCATGTAGGTCATTAGTGTTTTTATTGTAAAACTATAGCAACAGAATCTTTAAAGTCTGAATGTGCTGGCTTCACCCTTCCTATATTTTTGGGTGAACTAGAACAGGGGTCCCCAACCCCCGGTCCATGGACCAGCACTGGTCTGCAGCATGCCACCAAAAGTGGGCCGCACAAACAAGCAAAGCTCCATCCTCGGGATGCAGGCAGTATTCAAAACCACACCCCCTCTGGTCAGTGGAAAAACCTTTCTCCATCGCACCGGTCCCTGGTGCCCAAAAGGTTGGGGACCTCTGAACTAGAGCTTGTTGGAAACATTTATTCATGTTATGCTATATTCATGTTCCAGACTCAACCCCCTTTTTTGTGACCATTGCCTTGGGAACAGCTTTCCCTCTCCTTCAAGGCCTTTCATTCTGTCCTCTACACATTTTATTTTGTGCATTGTTTGTGCCCTTTCCTGGATTGAGAGGCCCTACTCAGTATAATTCATGCATTAGTCACCTCTTATTTGGATTATTGCAACATGCACTCCAAAGCTGATCTTGAAGACTAATTGGGAGCTGCAGCTGATCCAGAATGTAGCTGCATGAGTAGTTATGAGTGTACTTCAGTAGGCATCTCTACTTTGTAAGCTACATTGGTTGCTAGTGGCTTCTGGGTGGAATTCAGAGTGGTGGTTATTTAGCATTAAAACCCCTCATGGCAGAAGGCTGAATTATTTGCAATTCTGCCCATTTGATGACAAGCTCCAACAGAGTTGGCATGTCTTCATCTCTTAAAAATGCCATTCTGTCATTATGTCCTATGGAATAACATTACCCTGAGATTTGGGTATCCAAACTCAGCCTATCTTTTCTAAAGAACTAGCTTCTCCTCTCCCCTCCCCCCAGACATGAGGATTAGAGTTCCTGTCCAATGTGATAGATAGCTTGAAATTTTTGCATTACTGTTATATTTTATGGTAAATATATTTTGTTTATTATTCTATGTGTACACTGTCCCAAGGCATTTGAGAAAGTATATAACTCATCTGAATAATTTTCATTAGATTTCACATTTTCATCTTTCACGTCCTAGATTAAAAATTACTTGGTATCATAAGATTTCAAAGTCATTAGTATGAGCTGTGCCTACTATATTTGGATTTTTACCCCCATTGTGCACTTTTTAAATGGCTGCTTGGCATGCAGAAGTGTGGAATTTAGATTAGTTTCTGCCTTTTGGTGAATTGCTTTAAAATAGTGTATGAGTTACAGTTTGTATGGTTTTTACATCCAAGGGCTACTTTGATTGTGGGACACGGGATCTGTTTTCCTGGAAGCATAATCACATTCCATTCTGCTGTGTTAACTTTCCTGAGTTTCTGTTTAATACAAATGGAAAAGATGAGAAATCAAGTTTCTTTATTATAAAGTAGAGAAAAGAATTGGAACTGTCCTTTTTGCAAGGAAAGAGTTTTTTCTTCCATGAGCAGTTTCCTGGTTTTTTCACGCTGTTGGTATGAAAGTAGCTCCTTCTAAATATGTACTATAGGAATGACGATCTTGAGTAGAGACAATGAGTGAATGGATGGATGGTAGAGAATACAGTGGTTAATGGACTAAAAGATTACCATATTTGTTTTATATAAATGCATCATTGTAAAAGTTGTTTGCTGAAGTAGAATTCTAGGAAATTTCAATGGTTAGATACTTAATTCCAGTGATGATGTATTTTATCTTTTTATAAAAGCCTTTTTTGTTAACTGATATAACCAGAGATGGATGTGATTATGTGACATAATCATAAGTGTTAATCTGCAACATAGAATGTGGGGAAGCAGTTGCTCCCTTCCTATATACATAGATCTTGTTTGTTTTATTGATACAGAGATAGATTTTCAAAAATATATTCAGTCGATTCTTAAAAGCAGTTGTACAACTAGATTCAGGCAGCCAAATGATCTTTGGCTTTCTATTTCTTAGAACAGCAGTCTCCCAAAGCTGTAATCATTTTGATAACTATTAATGATGTGATATAGGTATGTATTTAAAGCTTGAAACCTGTAATTGTTTTTTCATGTAAGAACTTTGATCTAAAGTCTCTCAATATTGGCCTAGACTATTGTTGAAACATTAATTGCAACCTTAGTTGCCTCTTGAGATCTTTTTTAATCTTTATTTGTGGAAACTGAAATGACACTGAAATTCTAAATCTTAGGTTTTACTGAAATTACTAGGGCTTACTTACAAATACATTTTTAGAACTGGAGTGAGCCTACTGTTCTTCTATGTAATTATTCAAATTTATGCTCACTTCTTTATAGTCACATTGAGAAAATAAAAGCATTTCTCTAGAAATGAGTTATAGTGATGTCCCAGTAATATTTGTTTTCTTTGTTATAGTTAAAAGCCAGTTCAGTCCTATCAGTATGCCTCATAATCTTTAAATATAAAACCACCACTGAGAGATTCTTTAAGCATCTTCACAATCCTTCATGTGCAATAATGGTCTTTGGGGAGCACTTCTCACGTGGACAGTAAAATTCTGCCGTTTCAAAAGCAGGTTCCCATACATTATGGACTTGATTTTTAAGGGTGTTAACACGGTTGTATTATATAGATGTTTAAACATTTGCATTATGATATTGAGGTTATTGCAACTTTTGTTTTTATTCTTTCTTCAAGATACCCAGAAAGTGGCATTGTGGAAATGAATGTCCGTAATCTGCGGCCTCGAGCAAGAACTATTTTGAAATGGAATGAATTACATGTGGGTGATAAAGTGATGGTTAATTACAACGTAGAAAGTCCAGAAGAAAGAGGATTCTGGTTTGATGCAGAAATTACCTCTTTGAGAGAAATTTCAAGGACTAACAAAGAGGCTTATGCCAAAATTATGCTGGGGTAAGATTTTATTGATTAATACTACAGTCTATCTACAGTTTTTACATCATTTCAGTAAATAAAACCTTTCAGTAAATAAAACGATGCTGCTCTGTCTTTCTAATATTAGATTTATATCCCTTCTTTCATTTTGGGATTCAATACTCAAGACAGCATACATGGTGCTTTATTCTCCCATTTTTCCCCCTAGAACAATAACTTATGAGGTAGGTTGGATAAAGAGAGAGTGACTGGTCCAAAGTCATCCAATGCACTTCCATGGCTGGCAATGGACTAAAACTGGGTCTTTCTGCCTCTGGCTCAACACTTTAACTACTATATCATGCTTTCACTCATGTTGTTCTCTTTCCAACTATTATTTGAAATACATAAACAACAATTATGGAAATCTGCTCAGCAGTAAATTCCATTGAGTTCATTACTTTCGATAACTCAACATAAATCACAGCCTTATTTTCTTCATAATGATAGGTCTGGTTTTGTAGCACCGTGGACACATTGATTCAGTACTAACTTACATAGAAATTAGGATTCTTAGATTTTGGTTTTTAGAAATACCATGAAATTATAAAAAGAATCAATACACCAGAAATATGACAGTATTGTAGTGAATTCTGTGGTTTCAGGAACATTGCAAGAAACATCATTTAAACCATGTTATGCTTCTGATTTGCCAGATCTTTTTTGCTTTTTGGTATGCAAATGGAGAACTTCACTGTGGTAATTTTTGCCTTCCAGAAGGAAGCAGTCTCTTTTTATATAGTTAATCAGTGTTCCAAAATACGAAGTAGACTTAGGTCTCAGAATTAAACTTGGTGAGAAAAAAGAAATTACTCAGCACAGCAAAAAATGGCTGAATTAGCACAGCAGTGTTATGTTTGGACAAGAGGCAAGAGAAGGAGGTGAATGTATGTGTTCTTCCCCTTTCTCCTCAGCTTAAATATTTTTCCCACTTTGCAACAAGCTTTGAGAGAGCTGAAACAAATTACCAGCTCATTAGTTTTCTTTCCCTCAGATTATGCTTATTTCAACATTTTCATAATCCTGCGAAATGAAATATTTTGGCAATGTACAGATCTTCATTGTGGTAGCAGAGGACTGCCAATATCCTGAAAGAGAAGAGCCCTGCTGTAAAATCAGAAAAAATAATAAATATGATGAACTCATCTGCAAAAAAAATGGTTAATAGGGAAAAGCAGCACAATTAATCTTTTAAAAAAATATTTTCTCTTACATTAGCAGACTGAGTATCTTTCTGAATACATTAGAAAAGATAAAGTTCTTCTTAAGTTTTCTTCATGGAAACACCTCCAGTCCTTTGTTCCTAGAAGTGTATCCATAAAACTAATGCTTGGTAATACTGAATAAAATCTAAAAGCAATTACATTTGAGGTATCTTATAAATCCTGATGTATTTATTTGAGTCATTTTTGTCCAACATAGTTGATCAGTGTAGCTAATTGATGTTACAGTTAGCAAGTGAATAGCCATATGAAATAAATGAATGAATAAAATAAAAAAAATATTTACAGTTACTATTTCAATTATTTAAAAAAACCTAAATGATGAAGCTAATACAGGTATTTCATAAAGGAAAGTATGAAGTATACAGGTAATCGAGTAACAAATGTAATGGAGCCTGCCCATTCAATTCATAACTCGAAAATTCGAGTGAATCTCGTACCTTGAACGAGATCCCTCCCTGCTCATTAAGACGCACACGGCTCATTAAGTGAACATGAGGTATCTCAGGGTGGGGAAGGCCATGGTGGGCCTACTGATGGAACAGGCTCCCAAGGCCTTCCTGACCCACTAAGATATCTCATGCTTCCCCCTCCCTTCCTGATGCGCCGGACTCACCTTGAAAAGATCCGTTTATTCTCTGCCGCGGTTGCTGCTGCCACCTGGATCTGAGGCTGGGGGAGGCTTCCGCGTGCTTCTGGAGGCTGGATCTGGGTGCTGGAAGCCTTTCCCAGGCTGCTGCCGCTCAGATCTAAGGCTGGGGGACCCTTCCGCGTGCCTCTGGAGGACTGATTCGGGCATCTGAGGCCTTTTCCAGGCTGGCTCCGCCCAGATCCGAGGTTGGGAGACGTTTTTGCGTGCTTCTGGAGACTGGATCTGGGCTCCGGAGGCCTTTTCCAGGCTGCTGCCGCCCAGATCTGAGGCCAGAAGACGCTTCCTTGTACTTCTGGAGGCTGGATCCGGGCGCCGGAGGCCAGGGACAGTTCCGTGGCCCTCTGGAGGCCCGTTTCCAGGCGGCAGCGGACTGGAAAAGGCTTCTGAGGCTCAGACTGGGCCTCCGGAGGCACGTGGAAGTGTCTCCCAGATCGGGCCTCTGAAGGGCTGCGAAAACCTCTCCCAGCCTCAGATCCGGGTGGTAGCAGCCTGGGAAAGCAGCCCTGATCCAGCCTCTGGAGGCACACAGAAGTGTCCCCCGGCTTTGGTTCCATTCTCTGTTGCATAGACAGAGACCTAAAGTACCATTAGATCATGCGAGATCAGTAGAGTGAGATCTCGCCTGATCTTGCATTACTTTAGGCCTCCATTCCCTGCGAACTCACTGAAGGCCGGGAACAGCCAAGAAAGCGAAGAATCTCGATCTTCGCAGGGTGAGTATTAAAGGCCTAGTGCCTAGCGAAACCTGGGATGGGGCTGGGGAGGGAGGGAATAAGGGTGAACGACTGCCATGGTGCAGCAACATTCGTAATTTCAGGACTTGCTCATAAGCACTAGGGGGTGCTTATCATGTAACTTCGAACGTTTGCTAAGGGAACGCTCGTAACTCTGGGATTACCTGTATTTCAAATTTAGGCAAACTTTATTGCTGGCAATCTGTTTAAGTAATGTGTGGCAATTCATGGTAAAAGCTAGATCTGAATCTTTTTTCTTTGTTTTTCGCTGATTTCTAAATATGTTTTATTCTTGGCCCCTTAAAAATATATGCTCTCAAGCATATTAGTATCCTTTACTTGGTTTCATTTATATTAGTATCATATGAAATTATAACGGGTATCTGAAAATGCTTTGCATGATTATATTTATTTCTATATTGATCATTAAACATATATGACAAAAGAGAAATAAAATTTAGGTTGGTTGTGCCTTTATTGTTGATTTATTTTCTGGTTTATAATATTAATTATTTGTAATGTTTTTTCTTAATACAGTTGTTAATATGTAAATGGTTGCTAATGTTTTAGTATGATTCTTCACATAGATGCATTATTTGCTTTTCTGTGAATATTAGTGAATATTTTTTGGATTAATATAATATTGCTATTTCACAATTGAGTTTGAAGCATGCTTTTATTTAGTTTTTAGTTAAGTCAGTGACTGTTATTCAAGCATATAATGTATGCTTGCACAGTAATTTCATATTGTGTTCCATTGGATAGCATTAAAATTGGAATGAGAGAAATTGAGTTGAATATTTTGTTCCTTAATTTTCAGAGGCTCAGAAGATGTAATAAATGATTGCAAACTCCGTTTTATAGAGGAAATATACAAGATTGAAAAACCAGGAGCGTATCCATTGACATTTGCAGATGGAGAGTTCAAAAGTAAGTATTTGGTCTGCTTATGAAAGGTTTCCCATTTTTGAATAGTATTTTAAACATCCTATTTTTAAAAGAAATATATTTGATTCATATATTTTTCAAATGCATATACAATTCTTAGAAATAATTTTATATTACAGTGTAATTTATGAAAAGATATTTGTAGAGAAAATCAGAAGACAATGATTCATTGTCTGCAAAGGTTTGCACGTTTATGCTGTCACTGCCATATATTTAAACTCTGCTTATTCAGCCAACCTCTTTTGCTAATAAATGTCTTCTACAGACCCAAGGTGGCACTAGAGAGTAATCTTATGGCCTTTCTTCAATCTTGACTACTGTAGTAAATTACTGCTTGATTGAATTTATAGGAAAGAAAAGATATTATAGGAGGAAGAGGACATTTTGAAAGAATGCTCAGAGGGTTTGGGCAGCCTTTCTACAGCAGACACTTCTCTAGGACAGAGGTCCCCAACCTTTTGGGCACCAGGGACCGGTTCAGTGGAGAAAAGTTTTTCCACGGACCCAGAGAGTGCGTGGGTTTGTGTGCTGCCTGCATCCCATGGATGGGGCTTTGCTTGTTTGTGCGGACCGGTTGCTGGCATGCTGCAGCCTAGTACCGGTCCACGAATCGGGGGTTGGGGACCCCTGCTCTAGGAGACATAATCAACAGCCCAAGCAGCTTTCTTTCACTTGCTCAACGAACCATCTTTTCCCTAGGTCGTTAGTGAGGAAGGAAAGAGATTTTAGGAAGATGAAAAACTGTCTACCAGGGACTCAGTGCAGCTATTTTTTTCAATGTGATTTCACATTCCTGGCGAAGGTCTATATTCCAACAGCTTCAAAGGGATCCATTTGATCTAGTGCAGGGGTAGGCAACCTTGGCTCTTTTATGACTTGAAGACTTCAATTCCCAGAATTCCTGAGCCAGCCTCTACCTTTCTCCCCAGCATGGCTGGCTCAGGAATTCTGGGAGTTGAAGTCCACAAGTCATAAAAGAGCCAAGGTTGCCTACCCCTGGTCTAGTGGCACCAGGCAAGTAAACAGGAGACTGATTTCTAGTGTCACTTTAGGCATAAAAGCCAGCTGGGTGACTTTGGGCCAGTCATTCTTTCTCAACCCAACCCACTTCACAGGCTTGTTGTGGGGAAAATGGGGAGCAAGGAATATTAGGTATGTTGGTTGCCTCGAGTTATTTATAAAAATTATGAAGATGGGATCAAAATCTAATAATAATAAATACCTAATACTCTTCTATTTTCCACAACAACAACCCTGTGAAATGAGTCAGGCTGAGCAGAGAGAGTGGTCCTAAGTGGTTTTCGGGCTTAAAGCAGGACTAGAACAGTTTCCCGGTTTCTATCTTGGTGCCTCCAGTTACTTCAAGGAAAGAGGCCTTTTGGTTCTTCTTTAGACCAGATACTGGTTGAAATCAAGAACAAGATAATCTTCCTTCGCCAATATAAAACCACAGATGCAAGGGATCCAGATGGCTGAACTGAATTGCCACCTAAAGAAGCAGCTAATACACCAGCAACAGTCTAAGAACTAACTCTTCTCTGTCATGTTTACAGGGGATCCAAGTGACATAGGTTACCAAGGTCCCTTACTGGAAGGCAAGCTTCTCCTATTCTTCCAATATTGATTTTTCCATCTCTGCAGATGCCTGGGTGTTTTGCTTGGTTTCAACTATATTTATTGGACCATGTGTCCCTGTAGTTTTAAAATTTTCTACAGGAATTGTGGGAAATCAGTAAGACAATACACATTTTTTAGTAATATAACATTTTGTCTGACTTTGTATTCCGGTACATCAAAACATCAAAAATGTATGATCCAACTCTCTGTGCAAATGTATTCTGTCCAGTAACAAATAGTGAACACTTCATAGTTCATGACCTTGAAAGAATGACTGTCTGGTAGTCTGCAATTGCTTGCATTTAAATTTGTTTTCCTGGTAGCTGTCACCCCAGGAAGCCAAGATAGAAAATCTTAGTGATCATTGCATTTGCTTTTTCAAAAGCAAAAGATAAATTTTAAAAATCTGGACTCATAAATGCTTATTAACAATTTCAATAGTTGTTGGTTTATATAATTAATTTTCTGTGCAGCTGGTGCTCAAGTCCCTTTTTAATCACCTTATTTCCCTTGCTCTCTCTCTCTCTTTTTCTTTTCTTCTTTGCAGGGAAGAGTGGTCCTGAATGTAAACATTGCAGAGCTGACCCAGATAAAGAATGTCGATTTTGTTCTTGTTATCTCTGTGGGGGAAAACAGGATGCACACATGCAACTTCTCTGTGATGAATGTAATATGGCTTACCACATATATTGCCTGAACCCACCATTAAGCAAAATACCAGAAGATGAGGACTGGTAAGAAACACACACACACACACACACTTTTCTTTTTAATTGGTTTTATTGAGGTTTTCTTGTTTTGATAGTTGTGAGGCACCCAGAATCATTAGGAGTCTGGCAGCATACAAGTGTGATTTTTTTAAAGACAATATACTCAGTTTCATTGCCAATATAATTAAAATTCATTGATAGAAGCTGTTATTTCTAATGCCCTTCTAGTGCTAAAAGAATGGGGGAAATCATTTTTCCCCCTATACACTTTAAACATCAGATGAAATCAGAATTGTAACCCTCATTTTTAAATTGTAGGCTTTTAGCTTTAGAAATCCTTGAAGTTCATCTTGTATGTGATATTAGATATTGAAAGCCACTGTACAGTAACCATAGGCTTATTGTATAGTAAGTTGATTGCTCCTGTTCTTACCAGTGAGAGTTTCTAAAGAAAGATCAATTCCTTCTGTAATTTGTAGATGTGTAAATTCAAATCTTTGCTTGACCCTGTTGTACTCATAATTGAAAGAGATGGTTTGTTCATACCGTTTAGCTCTGTGATTTACTTAGCTACTACTTCTGACAGTAACCAAATAGAAGCTGTTGAGCAGCGTTCACCAGGAGATTGTTTGCAGTTCACTCCAAATATTCCGAACTTCAAAATAATTGCAGTCTTTTAGAAAATAGTCTTTAGAAGCTAAATTTGGAATATCATACAATTTTTGTAGAATGATGAATTTTGCAAGTATTTGCTGAGATGGTAAGATTTTGTTCTTCTGCTTATCGTAGAAAATATCCAGGAGTTGTTGAGCATAAAACCTGTCTAATTAAGATAACTATCATTTAACAGTGCTTGCTCAAAATCAAGGCTTAATTATCTTGGATAGTGTAATTGTTATATTGTTCGCTTAGCCAGCTGCTATCAAATATGATATTCAGATGCTTATCCTAAACCTGCAGCTGCAGGGGAGAGTGATGATCATAGCTTCCCTCATATAACTCCTACATTGGAATAATACATCAGATTTGTCTATGTTTGTTTTTGTTTCTTACATACTGTAATGATAACAATATGGGATCATGGTTTAGTTTTGCATTTTATAGAACACCTTATTGTAAAATCCACACTTAAAGCTAAGAGAGAAGTAGCAAATTATGTCTAATCTTGCCCTGTTTATTTCAAGGCCAAACTCCTCATGCAATATTTCGGGAGAAATATATGGTACGATTAGAAGAACAGCCCCACCTAATATATTGGAGGAGATGCTCCCTTGTGGTCACATGACTGCAATCTAGGTGCTTGGCAACTAGTTTGCATGAATGACTGTTTGCAGTCCCCCACGATCACATGGTTGCCATCTGCCGTGTACCCTAGCAGCTGCCCCAGAAAGTCAACAGGGAAGCTGTCAGGGAAGGTTGCAAGTCACTAAGGCAGGGGTAGGCAACCTCGGCTCTTTTATGACTCATGGACTTCAACTCCCAGATGCTGACTCAGGAATTGTGGGAGTTGAAGTCCATGAGTCATAAAAGAGCCGAGGTTGCCTACCCCTGCACTAGGGTGAGTATTCCCCACCTGTGCACTTTCCCCCTAATTCTTCTGTGCTCATGCCAGCCATTAGTGCGTGCCTTCTTTTATCCTTCCCTGCGCTCCCTTCCCCACCTAGCATTAGCCACCTACCTGGCTGCCAGTCTAGCATTTGCAATTTTCCGCTGGCTTCCCCACTGACTTTGGTTATGGGAGGCCAGCAGGAAGTTGGCTCATGTAACAATCATAGTGTTCGGTTAATGAAGGCAACAGGCACTGCTGGGATTGTCATCATTAAGTGATCTGGTTACGCTGTATGACTGCATCAGTTAGCAGTAGAAATCCCAGTCCCAATTGCCATCATAAGCCATATTATCTGCATAGCGTAGGTCTTGAACTGAGACTTTGGAGGTTTAGTCAGTCATGGAGTTTGCTGGATGATTTTGAGTCACTTTGTAAGTCTAAACTCTCTTACAAGACACTATGGTGATAAAATTATAGCCACCTTGAGCAAAAAAATGACATATGAATGCAGTAAATATTAAAAGAAGAAAGGGGTTTACAAGAAGTTGCAAGAAATGTAAATATGAAATATAAACCCACAAGGAGTTGTGTTTCAATGCATATTGCATAAAATGCATATGTTAGTATTGTATTTTTATTTATAGTTTTAATAGATTTTAAAATCATTAATATTTTAGGTACTGTCCTTCCTGTAAAAATGATTCTAACGAGGTTGTAAAAGCTGGGGAAAAGCTGAAACAAAGTAAAAAGAAAGCAAAAATGCCATCTGCCTGCACTGACAGCCAGCGAGATTGGGGCAAGGTAAATAACATTTAGATATTCTTATATATGTATCCTCTCTAAACATTTATTTATTTCCTCACTTATAAACTTCAGACAGTTTTAAGAATCTAAAAAAGGTTAAAAAATAGTAATTGTTTCCTAATATCCTCCATAACTTCATAATCCAAGTATGAAATGTAATTCCCACATAAAATAAAACCCAGAAATAAAAACTCAAATTATCTGAAGTCACTATTAATTGTTACTCTCCACATCTCAAACATAGCATTTTTACTCAGTTTAAACATCATACTAAAGTATGATTTTTAGTAAACACAGTATGGAATTGAAATCATGATTAGGAGTTGAAATTAATGATGCTGTTTAGAGTGTGCTTTTTTTTTCTCCTTCCATTTTGCTAGCAAAGTCAAATGAAGTTTGTTATTTTAGAGTGGTTTTTAAAAGTAATTACAGTCATTTTTAAAAATCTGGTTGCTGGCTGTTATTTATTTTATTTTATTATATTTTATTATGCTACAGAACCCCAAATTAATTATTTACAATATCTTTTGCATTGTTTTAGATTACTATGGCACTTTACGGTTCCTGTTGAAAATAGATGTTTTGATTATTTTAGTGTGTTATTATGATATTATTTAGATTATTTCTCAAACATGAATATTGCAATGTTTTGTGTGTGGAATGATCTTGAAAAAGAGTGTTTCAGATATTCAATTAGTTGAAAATAGAATAGTGAAGATGGATTAGATTAGAGTTAAAGTCTTAACTGGAGTCTAGCCAGGTTTTGGGTGCAATTTAATAAACCTATGAAATTTTATGTAGCTTGTACTATGGCATCTAAAAAATTTCCCTTCATCACTGTGAACCTGTTTGTTTTTTAAAATATACATAGATGAGGATTAATAATGGAATTTAATCCAGACTGTTAACTGGTTCTACATGGAAAGAAATATGCTGCGGAGTACCCCAAGACTTTGTTTTAGGCCCAGTACTCTTCATCTTCATCAATTATTTGGATGAGGGGGTAGATGGGGAACTCATCAAATTTGCAAAAAACAACAAGCTGGCAGGAATAGCCAACACTCCAGAAGATAGGTTTAAGATACAGAAGGATCTTGACAGACTTGAATATTGGGCGCTATCTAATAAATGAAATTCAATGGTGAGAAAAGTAAGGTTCTACATTTAGGCAGGAAAAATCAAATGCACAGGTATAGTATAGATGGTACCTGGCTCAATAGTAGTAACTGTGAGAGGGATCTTGGAATCCTAGTGCACAATCACTTAAATATGAGCCAGCAGTGTGCTGCAGCTGCCAAAAAAGCCAACACACAGTGCTAGGCTGCATTAACAGAGGGATAGAATCAAGATCACATGAAGTGTTAATACCATTTTATAATGCCCTGTTAAGACCACTTGGAATACTGTATCCAGCTTTGGTCGCCATAATATAAAAAAGATGTTGAGACTCTAGAAAGAGTGCGAGAAGAGCAACAAAGATGATCGGGACTGGAGGCTAAAACATATAAAGAACGGTTGCTGGAATTGGGTATGTCTAGTTTAATGAAAAGAAAGATTAGGGGTGACATGATAGCAATGTTCCAATATCTCAGGGGTTGCCACAAAGAAGAAGGATCAAGCTATTCTCCAAAGCACCTGAAGGGAGGACAAGAAAAGCAATGGATGGAGACTAATCAAGGAGAGAAGCAATCTAGAAACTAAAGAGAAATTTCCTGACAGAACAATTAATCAGTGGAACAACTTGCCTCCAGAAGTTGTGATTGCTTCAACACTGGAGGCCTTTAAGAAGGGACTGGATGGCCATTTGTCTAAAATGGCGTAGGGTTTTCTGCCTGAGCAGGGAGTTGGACTAGAAGACTTCCAAGGTCCCTTCCAACTCTGTTATTCTGTTAAAAATTTTGTTCTACCTGTTCTGAATGGAGAATTCTGAAAATTTGAATTAAAATGTATGTTATCAAATATCTAAATATAGTAGTTCACGGTTATCAATAATAATTGGGCCAGGAACACCATCATTCAGTGATAATAAGGAATGAAGTCTTGTGACCATGCTGAATAATGACAGCAGTTCTGGCAAACAATTTTAGTTTTTCTGCTTTCTTTTATTTGCTGCTAATATAGAGAAGTTTGCTGATTTTATATATAATTCACAGTAGTTCTCAAAAAAATGAGCAAAGCCAACTGCGAACATTTTTTAAATTGATTCTCTTAGAACAGCAGCCTGGCGGCTTTTGAATACCCTTATCTCAATAAGCTGTGAATTAAAACATTGCTAAAACAGGTACTTCTTCATAAAGTTTCACAATTACTATACTTGCTTTGTTTTCCTGATGTTGGTAGGGCATGGCCTGTGTTGGCCGAACTAAGGAATGCACTATTGTTCCTTCTAATCATTATGGACCTATACCTGGTGTTCCAGTTGGAGCAACATGGAAATTTAGAGTGCAGGTATGTAGCTATATTTTCTATATATTGTTTTCCACTCTTTTGTTTCACTATTGTGTCATTTGCATGAGTATATAAATCATTACTTGGGTTTTTTAATGTCATATTTGAGGCCAGTTAGTTTTTATGTTGCACTTATAGCTACTTTTGATTTTCCCCCCATTGTCATACTCAATTATTGAGAGGACCCCATCAGCAGATTAATATAAGTGAACCTTTTGTGATCCTGGGTTAATATCTTTATTGTAAGATAAATCTTTTGTCTTGGATAATTGCCAAAAATAAATTTACTACTCTAGGGACTCAGGTTTTAAATATAATTTTTTAAAAATATGTTTGAAACTGAAAAGTGTTTTGAGTACAATTTAATAGCTTTTGAGTACATTTTTTCAGGAAAACAAGATTAAAGTATTTCAGTTAGATGCACTGATATGTTCTGCTATTAAAAATAGGAATATATTTTAAACTTGTTTAATTAAAGGTGAGTGAAGCAGGTGTTCATAGACCTCACGTTGGTGGAATCCATGGACGTAGTAATGATGGCGCTTACTCCCTTGTGTTGGCTGGAGGATTTGAAGATGAAGTTGTAAGTTTTATATTCTGATTAGTTTATGTATTGATGCTCTCTATTTAATTGTTTTATCTCATGCTATGCAAAGATATAAACATGTGGGTAAAAATGTTTTTTAAAACGTTTAGAATGGATTTTTTTTGTTTGTTAGCAAAATGTCAGTGGGTCCCAGCATTCAGCTATACTGAGATTCTGACTGGAGAAGAAGAGAAGAATTAGAGAGGTTTATTAATCCGACAGCGAAAATGATCCACATTCACTAGCCGGAATAAAATTAATGTTCAGTCATAGGCAGGACATGGATACTTCCTTCTGTTGCTAGGAATTGTTTGTGGCAACAGAGATTAGTATTGGAGTCTTAAAATGAAATTTTAGTCATGTTGTCCTACTATAGAATGGAAGATAAAATATGAGCAATAATTATAAAAATGTAAAGCGAAGTATGAATATCTAGGCAATAGTTAATGTTGGAAGAGAAATTGAAGGAAGCAGGAAAGGGCACTATTGTATAGAATACATCTTTTCACAATGTACTTTTAATTACACAATATATTCCATTTTTCATTTCTGACTTTTGTACAGAACTTATCAATCACACTCTCTCAGTCCAAAGTACCTTGCAGTGCTGTTGTGTGAAGAAAATGGGAGGTGGGAACATTCTATATAGCAGGCAACTCTAATCTTGGCAACTGTAAGATTTGTGTACGTCAATTCTCAGAATTCCCCAGCCCGTGGCTGGCCAGCAAATTCTAGGAGTTGAAGTCCACAGATCTTAAAGTTGCCAAGGTTGGTGATCCCTGCTGTAGCACTCTGAGCTGTACTAAATAAAGATGGGAAATATTTCTAGCAATGAATAAAAAATGGTACAGTTGCAAGAAAAAGTATTTGAACCCCTTGGGATAACGTGGAGTTTTGCATGAATTGGTCATAAAATGTGCTCTGAACGTCATCTAAGTCACAACAATAGAAAAACACAGTCTGCTGAAAATAATAATACACAAACATTACATGTTGCCATGGTTTAATTGAACATAACATGTAAACATTCACAGAGCAGGGAGGAAAAAGTATGTGAGCCCCTAGCCTAATGATGTCTCCAAGAGCTAATTGGAGCCAGGAAGGAGCCAGCCTTGACTCCAATCAGTGTGATGATATTGGATGTGTTGCTGACAACTGTCCTGCCCGTTAAAAACACACACCTGTTATGGGTTTACTGGTTTCAAGAAGCACTGTCTGATGTGAACCATGCCTCGCAGAAAAGAGCTCTCAGAAGACCTACGATCAAGAATTGTTGACTTGCATGAAGCTGGAAAGGGTTACAAAAGTA